AAAATTTCTAGAAGTCAGTCAGGGAGAAAGAAAGCATGGGAAGAGGGGACCAATAAGACGTGGGACTGGCTTCCCCTTCCTCCAAATGTGTCATTTCACAACATCTAATTAAATCAGTGCCCTGTTTTCAACTCTTCTTATCATTTAGCTCATGAAATACAGAATTTTAAGCCAAAATATCTGTAGAAATTAGTTTTTATGGTGTAAACACATCATTATAAAATATATCTGGTGATGTGGTTCAGAGAAATTAACTTTTATAGCAAATTCTAGGCTCAATGGCCTAATGGAGCCAAATTTTGTAGTGAATGAAATACCTGATGGAATTATCTAGGGCATTTTATGTGTGTGCATGCACACTCACATGCATGTATGCATGTGTATGTCAACGCATGTGGAGTAGAGGACAGTGTCCATGCTGTTCCTTGGATGCTTTCCATCTCATGTGTGAAATAAGGCTCTCTAACCAAATGAGCTAGACTGGCTGGCCGGAGACTCTGAAGGACCTGCCTTTCTCCTCCCCAGCACTGCCAATTTGCATAGGTTTTAGGATCGAGCTGTTTCCCTAGTCTCCCTTACCCTTTTATTTTAAGATGGAGACTTGCTGTGTGGCCCAGGCTGTCCTGGAGTTCCTAGGCATGTAACCCTCTTGCCTCAGCCTCCCTAAGTATCTGGGTCTATAGGCATGTGCCCCTGTTACTGGCTTTAGGGTAGAATCTTTTAATTAGTAGCTGTTTTAAAAATAAATATCAATATATGTTTATGAAGTAAACTGTAGATATTGTGGAATGCTCCTTTTTGTAAATTTCTGAGTACAATTCCATGCCACCACTCACCCACCCTGATTTATTTCTGTAGTAGTTCCCATTCCAGACTGGAAAATAAGAAAAAAAAATGAGTTGTGCTATAAATCAGATTCTCATTTAAAGGAAGACATTAATTTGGTTTTATAGCCAAAACACAGTTTTGTAGTCATGAATATTAAGGAAGATAATGTCTGTTTTTTAAACTCTTTTAGTGATTAGTCCTAACGGAAGGCTGGGGATATGGTTCAAGTAGCGTATGACCTGGTGTGTGGAGGGCCAGGGTTCGATGCTAACACAGCAGAACAATGGCCTAATGGAGCCTGAACCTGCTGGCATGCGCCTATAATCCCGGCACTGCTGGCCCACGCCTGTCATCCTGGCATTTGGGAGGTGATGCAGGAGGATCGAGTTTGAAGTCAGCCCTGGTGCCATAGCAAGTACAGGGCCAGCCTGAGCTTCATAGTAAGACTCCAATACAGAAAAGCAAGGTCTCAGGATAGCTCACTGCCAGAGTTTTTGTCCAGCATGTAGAAGACCTTGGGTTCTGATCTCTAATGCCACAGTTGGGAGTAAAAATGAAATCTTGGTATTTGATAAGACAACTTGAGACAAAGAAAAATTAACAAATACACGATGTGATAATTTCCCAGCTTTCAGCAAAGATGATCACATCAGTAATATTGCTTACTATGAACGCCATGATAGGAAATAACAATTTCATTAGATAAATTAGTTATGGCTGTATTTTGTTAATTTTATCTGTCTTTTGAGCAGCGTTTTGTTTGTGTTTGTGAAAAGATGGTTGTGAGGGACTGGAAAGATGGCTCACTGCTTGAGAGAATTCACTGTGCAACCATGAATTCCAAAGTTCAGATCCCATTGCCCATGTAACAAGAAGGGTGCGGCCTGTGTATACCTGTCCCTGTGCCTCCAGCTTCCTGCGGCCCAGAGACAGGAGGGTGGCTAGGGCTGCCTGCTGCCTACCGAGCTGAGAAAGAGAAGTGGAAAAGCTCAACCTCCAGATTCAGGGAGAGACCCTGACACAAAACATGTGGCCAAGAGGGATAGAGGAAGATGCCTGCCACCCTCTTCTGCCCTCTGTGTGTACATCACAGGCATGCTTACTCATGTTTATTCACTGGCACACACTCCACACGTAAACATACATACTCTGCACATAAACACACACTCCACACAAACACGGTCATGCACATGTGCCACACACACACACGTACAATCAATTATGAGTTTTGATCTGCTTTCCAGTATAATGTGTTTATTTTTAAAAGATTAAAGAGAAAAAGATCAATTGTGTATAAATTATACAGTTATTACACTCTAGAAGTCTTATGAAATTGCTATATTCTTAATGCTTGAGAAAGAACATAGTTGTTTTTGTATATATATATATATGTATATGTATATATATATATGCTGAAATGTTTTTTAATCCATTATTTGGTGAGAATACACTGCCTTTGTCTGTTTGTGCGTGTTTGTGTGTGTACATGGGTGTATGTGTATGTATCCATGGTAGTTTGTGTGGGTGCATATGTGTAGTCAGGGTCATGTGTGCATGTATGGAAGGGCTAGAGGTTGATGTTGGGTGTCTTCAGCCACTCTCTACCTTTTATTTTGAGGCAGGGTCTCTCTCTTGAACTTAGAGTTCATAGACTAAGCTTTTTCAGAACCTCTGCCTCTGCTTCCCAAGTGCTGGGATTATAGGTGGGCATTCACTTGGGTGCTGGGGATCAGAACTGCATACAGTCCATGCTAGAGTAGCAGATACTCTATCTGTTGAGCCATCTTGCCAGCCCAAGAATTAGGACAACTATCATAAATTATGAACCACCTAATGCCAAGGAATGTCGTGTAAAACTAAACCTGGAACAAGACACTGTATGCACTCACTGGGAAGATACATTAGAAATTAGACAGATCATCTGTTTCAGTTTTCAAGATGATTTTAAATAGTCAAAAGTAGATTTGAGAATCTCTTTTCTTTTTTACCTATGCAGATGTTTCAACTCTATCCAAGTGCGTTAATTCTTTCCACAGGCTCTGGAGTTCAGGTTCACTCTAGAAAACACTGACAGGGACACTTGTTGATTAAGTGAGTCTAACACAGGCCACCTTTTTTCTACTTAGCCTCTCTCTGTCCATTGTGTCATTGTATTATTATGACAAAATAATTTCCCAGTGCATAATTACTGAAGGAGTCAGTGGGTCAATGATTATAGCTAAACCTGGTACACCATTGCAAGTTCTGTTGAGCATAAGAGAAGACTCCCCTCAGTAGCATCCTGTAACTGTGCTGAAAGAAAGGACAGTACAACAGTATGAGGACACGGTGCTGTACAGGGGAAGCTCTGCTGAGCAATGGCTACTTCATTTACATG